CATGCGAGGCCCTCAAACTTGCTTAATAAAATGGTGCGTCAAATGACGATTTTAACGGAATTTGGTAATTTGCATATTTCTTCGAAATAAAAGGATATCTAGCCAAAAAACCTATCCAGTAGTTTTTGTCATGCCCTAGCCTATCTCCCATGAAAATATGAGCGAAATCGAATTTTCGATCCTTGGCGAGTTATTTCCCATTTTTATGGACAGGGACTCTTAAGCTCTCTAGTTGTCATAAGTACTGCTTACCTTCGAATCACGCCACACATACTTCAGCTGGTAGTCCACCAGAATGTTTGAATCATTGTTCACGTGATCAAGCGCCATTTCCAAAACAGGAATAAGAGCAGCGGAGCTCCAGGCGCCTGCTTTAATGTTTTTACCAAAGAATCCTCCAATGTAGAGTTCTATTTTGGACTTGGAGTTATCACTTTTGGCAGTTGAAGTCAGCAACACAGAACAAATAATAACAAGAAACCTGTTCGCCATCCTGTCTTCCCTCGATCTGTTCATTTTATTATAGAGATGTGATCTGTAGAAACAATGTCTTTAAAGTTACTCCAGATGACTGTCATTTTTAGTTTGTAAAATTCATATAATAAATTTTTAATTGAAATAACATTAACTTCGTGCCAAATGCCGCATACATTGTCGTTGTCGTATAAATGCACTGTTATTTTCCTTTGATAAATATAAAGACCTAATTCTCCGGTGGCGAGAGTGAAAATAGAATAATCCACGAATTAATTATATAGATCTTTCTATATAATTAATTTCGCAACTAGCAACGACATTTCGCAACTAGCAACTACTTACATGAAGTAAATTCAAAGTTCAAAACAACCGCAATTGTGGATGCGAAGCGGTCGAAGCTTTATGCTTCCTTCTTTCTCATATCACTTGATGAAACAACTTCGCAGCTGTAAAAATCAATGAAGCTGTTGGAAAAAGAATTTGAAAGACCTCAAAGATAAGGAATGTGGTTCGTAAAGAATTGAATAACATCGATTCGCATTCCATCGAGTGAGACTTGAGTTCTCGATTCCCTCACGTAGGCGAAGCATTTTATGTCCAGTAGGAAACGCGTAAAAGGAGATTAAAGCCATTGAGGAATTTATTAGTTTGACTGGGACTGGAAGCGTATTAGGGTAATTAAATTGGCAGATAGGAATGAGTTCGGTTGGTCGATGGTGAGCGAATATCTGTCTGGTACGCCAACTACGGATTCAGAAAGAGAAGCAGATGTTTCTATCAGAAAGACAAGGTGCAAGTCGTATTACTGTAAGCAGGCAGTGAATCTGTGAAGAAATAGAGCGCGGAACGCGAGGTCGTCGAGTAATTTTGGAATCTCATCAAGGGCAAGGCTTGGTTAAGCGCGCGAGTGAACATGATTGGCGCATGTTACAATTTAAGTATTCATTCATGTGCTTCTATTCAGCTCAGGTTTCATTAGTTAGTTCTCACTTCGCTTCCTTTAGTATGGATTTCTTGTGGCACTTATATTATTCTCCATAGGTTTTCAGGCGCGCGGTTCGATGTATCCATATCAAAGAACAAAAAACTACAGGAATTGTTTACAGGTAAGAGGCGTTATGTCTTGTGCAAGCTAAAATAATATGCTTGGTTTGAATGGCGCCTCAAGGACTCTTTGCAACTTCGGTGAGGAGGGGGGACTTTCAAGTGAGAGGGGTGGGATGCCTTCGGAAAAAAAAAACTGAACTAAACCCCACTAAAAGGAAACAATCTGGGCGTGACGTGAGCTTTATTTAACCCTTGAAAGATACAAATCGAAACCGGGCACACAATTAGGAGCAAGGAAACCGCAATAAAATTGATTCCCCCCCCCTCCCTGCTAAGAAATTTGCAAATTTGTTTCGAAATAAAGGTTTTCGTTTGTTACGAATAAGCCGTTTTTACTTTAAAGAAGACTAAAAATTCACAACATACATGAGTGTGGCTTCAATTACAAGAAATGACGCAACGGTACAATTCTGAATTTCAGGTTTAAACGGGTCTAAGCCATCGGCCAACCTTTTCACTCGACTGTTTATGTATGCAACATTCAGCAGAAGAGGAAAACTATTGCAGTGCCTGTCTTTAAACGATTATTATGCAAATAATAAACTACTAAACAGGCATAAAGCCAATAATATGCTCTTAACAAAAATGTCTATTTCAAATCTTAATGTGATTTTATTCCATCACGAAATGTTAATTTTCTTTCCCGTGTGCTAAACGTACATGTATCTTTCTTTCAAATACCAGATCTGAAAAAACCGGGGGAGACTCTTTTCCTAATATTGTAGAAAATATGATCCTACTCACATGTTTTGCTCTTAGAATATAAATGCTGGCCATGCATGTACTCTTAGAATAGATTGAAAGAGTTTACACACAAAAAAAAAATGTGAAAGGTAAGGCGATGGGTAGCTTATTCCAAAAATTACTACAATAGATCATTTTAACGAGACTTCAAAGTGTATTTTGGCCAATATCTGTCGGTTAGAAATTAAAACTACCCTAGAGCCACAGCGTGTTTTCGTAAAAAATGAATGAATGCCAATTCGGTAAGTGCATAATGTATCACGCACGTAATTTCATGAAAAATCTTTAGCTAAAATGATTGTGAGAAAAATATGGGTCAACTTTGCTGTTAAAAAGCTTTTTTTGACCCAGCATTTATTCAAGTTTTTCGCATTTTAGCAGTGGTAAAATTCACGTCTGCTCTTCAGATGTTTGTCTTGTCTCAGTTAAATTTCTTCAAATGAAAGTTCAGTTGCTAATGAGAAATATTCTGTAGCTTTAAGTCATACAGAGCAATTCCCCATTGAATATTTACCTTTCTTTGTTCTAAACCGTACCTAAGTATCTCTAGATGAAAGTAAGCTATCAACGGTAAACTATAGTCTTTCACTGTAAGCAATAATATTGGAAAAATTATTCTATTACCGTTCTCTCCGTGAGCGGCAACACGATGGTCCTTCCTGGAAAATTTCTCTTCTGTTTAAGAAAAACAGGATAGTTGCACCTCGACACGGTCACTAATTTGCCGACATTTTGCAATGCCGCCAATAGTCTTTGACGGAGCCTGGCATCGTTATAAATTTTTGGAACACAGCCAATATTATAAATTGGATATGAATTGAATGATGTTTTTAAGCCATTTGTTAGTTACTGTCATCTAGCTGACTGACGCACTCAAAAAGTGCGTGTTAGTTTCTCCAATTTTTATTAAAGCTCTAATTTCACGGAGTTATAATTTCATGCACCGCTAATTATCTTTTCTCTACTTTTGTTCTTTTCGACTGAACATTTTTTCCTAGATTTAATGTTAGAGGACACCTTAAGCTTATGTATTATCAGATGGATTTATGTCAAGATAAATCAACCAAAAAAGTAAATTCGTGTCGTTCCACCTACTTAAAAAAAACTCATAAGATTTTGGGTGAGCAATCAGCGACTATAACCAATTCTACACTTAATGCCGCAATCAAACGCGCGAGGGTAATAGATCGTTTTCACGTGACGCCATCACTTTCTAAAGTCCAAAACTAAAGAGCCACCAAAGTTTTTATCCTTATCAGGCATAAGAGGCGGTATATTTATATCTGTTTACAATTTTACAGCTCAATAGCGTGCTTCGTTTGGAATCCAGAGAATTTTGAATTTCAGGGTTATGGAGGTGCGTGACACAAGGCTACGATCGAGTTTGTTGAAAAATGTATACTTATCTCATGATTTTGAGCCTTTTTAGAAGTTAGAGCATTATGAAAAGTGCTTATGTAAATGCTTGTTTGATCAGTACTGATAATCAGTCGCCTAGATAGCCAAAGTAAGTTCCAGATGTTTTCACTATTTTCCGGCCGCCATATGGGTGTACCACGGAGGTACACCAACATGGCGTTTTCATGCTGGGCTCTTTAGATATAACAGTCTGCGAAACATTTCGACGAATATCTGAAGTTTGGGGAAACGCACAGGCCTAAAACTTGGAGAAAAGTCCTATTTAGTTATCTTCTATAACATCATAACTTCATAGCTTTTTCCAGTGGATGGTTTTCGATATATTTTTTTATTGCGTGACAGTGAAAACGATCTATAGACATTCGTACTATTAAGTTCTCGATTAAAATCAAAGACTTTATTTTTCAACGTTAACCATCTATTTTACTGACTGTTTTTCATCACGCTGTTAAGTTGTTCTCAGTTTTGCAGTGTGAACGAACCTAATGGAACACTCGGCTAACTCAATAACTACCTTTTGTCAGGTTTGGTTGATTTTTCATTTGCCAGAAGACCCCCAGAGTAATTTCGTACCTCCTCTCAACGGAATGAAAACGAATTGTAAAACAAGTTGAAAAACACTCTCTTGGCGGAACATTTTGACTTTTTCTCGGGGAAGCGTACTTTTATGCTTCTCCCTGTCTTTATATTGCACACAAAAACTGAACACCTGACTTTTGAGTTGTATTTGTAAAGATAATGAGGACTGCTGAATTGCCAGCAATAATGAAAGACGTCCTGTTACGACTCGGAGGCAGAAAGTGTTATTCGGTTGGAAACTGCTGGGGCGTTATGTTGAAAAGATAGCGTTTCCGTCTGCTTATTAAATACTTTATCGACTGACAATTTAAAAACAACGTCTAGTTTGATAGAAAGGAAATCCATAAAAATGGTCCGTGTCCGGCAATTTGAAGTGAGTTTAGCACACTAATTATTCAATCCTCAAAAAGGATAGAAAACCATTTGTTCTTATTGCAGACTTTTGAACTTCACGATTCATTCTGCAAATCAATTTCCTTTAATCTTCATTCCCTGTTTTAAAATGGCATTTGACATGAATATATATGAACTGGAAAAAAAGCTGTTCTCCATGAGACGTAATTGAAGTAATCATCTATGTACAACTGGCACTCGTCAACTGAATAAATAATTGACGCCCTAGCTTTAAAACCGAAAAGGCCACGGTAAAATAAACACCGAATGCTAAAAAATTAGTCTAAATGGCATAAAAAATTAAAATGTTGGTGCGTCAGAGGAGACGTTATGTAGGCCTGCGGGATCAATTTTACATTCGAAAAACTAATAGTCTTAATTATAACTTGATCGATTCTCTAAAAGACAGCCGAACAAGTTCAATAATTTGGTATTTCCAAATCCTTTCTTCGCCAAATGACGCCGTTGTTTTTTCCTTGTGAATATGAATAACAAGGCTTAAGCGAGCTAAACCGTTAAACCTGCACCTCACTTATAGATTCTCTGATTATTTTGTTTTCTCAGATAGTTTAGCTTTTCTCTGACGGCGAGATAAACATAACCTCATGCTTTGTAAAGCCTAGGATTTTGTAGCTGATTGTAGCATCTCAATAAACGATGATTTAAGGATATACATAGAGGAGAAACTGCTATGAATTAAATCCAACAAAGTATGATCTAGGTTCAAGATTTGATTTACAGAATCAAAAAAATCCACATATGTACCCTTCATTTCAAGTAGCACTCACTTGGTAACGACGATTTTTAAGGACTGTTGAAGAGCTGCAGTTTCCTATCGCCGGACTACATGTTAATTTTCAGCTTCTTTTGTGACATTTTAAGATGAGTATGACACGAATATATGATTGCATAAGCAACGTATTATTGAATACTAACCAAGCAAAGGTCATTAGCACCACTTCGCAGCCAAAATGTTTACCTTTATGGAGACAGAGCGGATTTCCTCTACAAATACAATCGTATTTGGAATATCCCCTTCATCAATCTCAATCGTGCTTAATTGTGATGAAAGTATCCCACCGAAACAGTTTCACTATGAAGATGACATTACCCACCATGCGTTTAGAACTGTGACGCCCAACATCTCTTGAAATTGCCAAAAAGACTGATACTTTCAATTAATCGGACACTACTGAATACCATATTCCCACAACAAGCTGTTTGAATTCTGTTTTTTGAAAACAAGGTGACTTCTAATTTGTTCTGAAGATAATACGCATCGGCAGAAAATGTAAACTGATATTAATTACGACTTCAAAATGACGATGCAAAGCTACAGGAACCAAAAATGCATCACAAACTAAGTCAATATTTACCTTAGATCAGCTTCTTTTTCTAAATATTCAACGGTGTCAGACCCATCACAATTTCACTTTTGAGGCGATATAATTATGACTATAAGTCACCAGCAGCTGCGTGCTCTAATTGTACGGAACAACACCCTCGTTGCACCGACTGTTTCTTTCAATGTGTCATTTCTGAAGTGCCTTTAGCCTCTGGTTCAAGTTGAGACTAGGTGCAAGGTCTTTATCATGCTTTATCATATAGATTTGGATGAAAATAAAGACGTAAAATCTAATAAAGTTTGAGGTAAAAAGCTGTTAAAACGATAAATAACATCGGAGTAATATTATCGAAACCTCAAATCGCCGAAAAAATGCCACCTCATTACAGTAAAACACAAATACTAACATGAACACATGTTTTCTGAATCCCGGTTTTACTTTGTTGATTTCATCACAGACCGAACGAAAAACAAAATTAATTAAAAACATAATCAAGAACTTGGACAGTTTTTTGTTTTTACAAACAAACCCAGGATACTTGTTCAAACAGGTTTTCTTGCCCTGTATATCCGGCTTACATCGTACAGAAATAGAAAAAGGAAACCAAAGCAATAATAAAGTACCTTTGCGGAGATTGTTTTCTTACGCTAACATCAAATCTATATTAGGCAAGTGCTGATTTATAAAGTATTGCTATAATTTGATTGCATTGCTTCGTCCCAAAATGTTGACAAGAATAATTTTACGTGAACGAGGCCTTCCTACAGAACGGACACTCGAACCATAAACACTATTGGTGTGTAAAGAATGAAGGCTTTTCGTATAATGCACAAGATTAGCGTTTTGACAGTGTGAAAACGCTAAATGCTATTGTTAATATGGAGAGCCCTAATTTTATATTCACAAAAAAAGGCACAAATTCAAAAAATGCAATGTGTTTTGAAGATTTCGAGCTTCCTCACTGTAATCTTTGTTATGTTTACTGTGTTTTCAAAATAAGAAATTTTTTGGACTTCCTCGCTCAGGTGCTTAGCTGCAAGGGGTCTTAATCATAAATTCATTCGCAATTTATATGTCCACTTGAAACTACATTGAGAATCAAAATTCATGTTCATTTGATTTACGATGTTATTTGATCCCTATTTCATAAGAGAACTTAAAATTAATGTTAGGGATGATCTTGGAATTTCAGTCATTTGTAATTTCGAGTTTGATCCTCTCGCTAACCTGTTGTTGCCTTTTCCTCAGAAATAAATGGTGAACATACTGCAACTGATCTCATTAATATTTAAAATTTCTTAAACCTAACTCATAAAAGTAAGTAGCTTACCTATGTTTCTGTAAATGGAATTACGTCGAAAAAATTAAATGTGGATTTAATATAACGCCTGACAGAGACTCTGATCGTTTTTTTTCTGCGAATCTGCGACCAGAATTGTGTCAAACTTTATGTCTTTGTTTTAGTGACGACTCAAGATTTCAACCTCTTACAAAGGTCTTCACTTTGTGTTTTTGCATTTGTCTTTTGACACAAACAGTCGAAATTCAATTTCTTTTCATTCGTTATCAATAACACAAATAGACAGAAACTTAAAATGGAACTGTGCTTGTTTTCGCATTAACTCCTTGAAACTAGTGAAGAAAATGTTTGTTCTGTTTTTATGGTAAGGGCACACATTTCCCTTATGGCTCGTGCCTGTTATTTTGCTCATTTGAAGAAATAAGTAGAAATCACAGCTAAAAGGAAAGAAAACACATCATAAAATATTTACCTCAAAGTATGTCGATGGCGTTGCTGCACAGTTGAAGTGCCACCTTGAGAAAAAATAATCGATCGGTTATTTTCAGTACCGCTATAAGAAAGTAAAGAAAATATCACAATTGTAAAACAGTAACCTGTATGATAATCGCATATGACACTGATTGATATCTGAACAAAACACCTCTTTTATAAATGCTACCTATCACAGTACATGTAATGTACAGTCGAAACAAGAATACATTACATGCATGCTAAGATAAACATCGGCGACTTTTCAAAGCCGCTTTTTATTACACGGCAAACATTTTAAGTGTAGAGGCCGCCATCTTTGTAGAGCCTTCACCGCAGCAAAGAAATATCTTAATGTATCTCATGTAAAACATGGTTGCACCTAACTATAGTTAATTATAGTTTATGTTCGCTTGGCGGCCTCGGGGTTGCCTGGTTTCTCGAGATTCATTGCACTAAATTACTTTTATATAAGGTACTTCATTAACTTTAATGTAAGTACTTCCGTAGGTCATCTTGTGGTCGTGTTTAGATACCGGCCTTAAAATGACAGATCTATCAAAAATGCTATATCAAATGCACAAATTAATCTCGATAACCTTGGACGGCGAGAAGCTTCGTTACAGATTGTACTGAATGACGAATGGTTCCGTATCGTTTGTTAATTCACCGGCTCCGTCGGAACTCGTCTCATCATTATCTTTTTCAGCAACTGACTCGGTGTGTTAGTCAAAACTACTTAGCAAGAAGCTACTAGTCGAGCACACTTAAGTCTAATAATAATTCGTGCATCGTGAACAAAAGGTATCACGTTTTGTGACTGTCTGCTAACGTCAATTAACAATATTTTTTCATAAGGATTTGAAAACACAATAGCTTTGATAAGTAATTCAAATTGAAATCCCCCAGAGAGCTTTCGTATTTTTTCGCAAGTTTTAATCTGCTTGTAATTCATTTACTCAAAAGGCTCATTAATTAATACCGTTTTCGGAGGCAATAGTCGAATCCGGGCTAGTTCGTAAGTGTGATTTCGATTTTCCAAACTTCTGGGAACTTACTCGGGAATCTTAAGAAAAGAAAACATCTTTTCCTTAGAAAAGATTGGAAGAGAATAGTGCTTATCCGATAACAGCCCCTTAATTTGTTTCCATGGAGAATATAGATGAAAGCACGAAAAGGAATACGAACTGACTTGACATGTTGAACTGACTTAAAATAACAGCGCTGCTTACACGTATTTATTCAAACTTAATACGAAAGGGAAGCTTCGATAATAATAGTTTGCTCCAGTAGCTTGCGGTCTATCAATATTTTAACCCGAAGAAAAATAAATCTACTACAGATAACAATCACTTGCAGTTTTACTAAGAAAACCCGGCGAAATTAAAACTAAAAGGTATACACTACATAGAAAGCAAAGATTTCTGGTATCCATGCGGAGCACTTAAGAGTGAATTGAAATAAGAGGGGTTTGAATATGTCTGTATTTTGACTTCACACAGTTAGCCGCCACGCATAATCAGTTGGCGATTCATTTGCATCTCACATGTTTTGGTTGGTGCCCGATGATAAAAAATAAATATCTTTTTGCATTTTTTGTCACCGATAATTTTACCGACTCTTCAAATTTAACTGCGGGTCAAAAAGTAACCAGGCAAGTTATCAAAATTCCCCGATAAGGTGGTGTTTAGATCACATTGCGATCGCTTTCTCCCGCCGAAATCCGGCCGGAAACATCGCGATATGCAAGCCTCTGCACTTTTGAAAATCGAACACTCTATTCTCCAGTTAGTAATTCTTTTACTCGAAATAAATATATCTTCAGCACCTACATTATTAAGCTTTCAGAAAATATATACTCTATTGGGGTTTTGGTTAAATGACTGACGGTAAACCGGTACCAAAGAAGGTTGGTCATTTGTGCAGCTACAAAATCTCGTTTCGCCAATCTGTGAGATTTTCCCAAAGTAACTCTAGTAAAGGTAAGGAGCTGAAAACTCTGAGATGACATACGAGGGTCCAAAATTACTGATTGATGTTCAGTTTTGTTCTTCGGATTTACCAATTCAATGAGTCCACGCTGGATACGAGTCAAATGTCGCGACTGTTTTCGTCACGACTACAGATTATGTGGTTCTGAATATATCGAGTGGACTGAAGTGTAAAAAGGCAAGACCCAAATGTAAGGTAATAAACCTTACCGGTGTGCTAATTAAGCCCAATCTTATTCTGAAAATCTGCTTTTTTTCACTAACTGAATGAAATTCTGTCGGTTTTTGGATCTTTCAGTGATTTTTTTTTTTTTTTTTTTTTGCTGCTTTTCTTTTTCACTCAGTTGCTTTTTATTAAACACTTACAAGGCTTTTTTTGTTAAATGTTTGCGGGTATAAACTTTAAGTAGCTGAGTTAACTGTAACCTTGCGCAACTTTTTGATGTTTCAGGAAAGGCGTTGCCAATTATTTCTGGTAATTTTTAATTCTCAGAAGAAAGCCGCGGGGCTTACCAAATTTGCTCTTTTAAGCCAGTTTTCTGACAGAACTTTCTATCAAGCGACACTCAATTTTGCCGCACTCATTTTCCAAATACGGTCAGATCAGAAGCTTCTGGTCAAACACACAGGCATATAATGGCTGGCAACCGAGATTCAGTAAACCAATCAGAAACTGAACTAGACATGCACTATTCAAGTCTAATTAAGAATAGTAGGCCTTTGGCAACAGTTGGTCAGGTGATCGATTATTTCTAAACTTTTAACTTCTGGTATAATTGAATTCCAGAACTGGAAAGAGCGTGTTTATAAATAGCCAGAACACTAATTTTCAAACTAATGCCGTGTAAGGTTGAGATTTAATGACGATTTGAATTTTGCAAAAATTAGAAGGTTTGTGTGGAGGCGAGGAAGCTTTGCCCTCCAGGAGCCTTTTTCGCTATTTATCATGTAAAAAGTAAGCTGCAGACATATAACCACTGGAGATAGAAAGAGGGGTAGAATATTATGAAGAATGGAAAATTCTAGGCTCTTAATTCCAAACCGAAAGGCAAAGATCTTATTGCAGCTCGAAACCTTCCACAATTGCAAGAATTTGTATGGAAAACCACTTGAAAATCCATCTAACGTCCACAAAAATTTTAATTTAAAGAATATAAACCTTAAGCTTTGAATGTAAGCCTATTTGTAAATGTTCTTTCCACTACTAGTGAATAATCTTATGCATTACCAATAACTTGAAAGGCATATCACGTGACCAACTGTTGTGAAAGGCCTAACTGATAGTGAAAGATGTTCTCGCTTTCCTTTCTCTGTGCTAGTTAGCTCTTATTAACCGAGCAGGAGGCCTGTATGGGAGAATCTTGACCGAGGTCGCGAGTACAGTCCGAACGCAGTGAGGTCTGTACACACCACCGAGGTCAAGATTCTCCGACACAGACCGACTAAGCCCGGTTAATAAGACGTTTATTATATGGCGCAAACAAGAATAATTCAATTCGTTTAATGCAACTGGTTTGTACTACCTGTCGTTTTGCTTGCGAACGACAGTGAGGTATTTAATTCTGCTAAAGTTTGCTCGTCCTCTCAACTTTTTTTTTTCTCATCAGGCTTTTTGGCCCTTCCATAAATAAATATTGTTAGACGAAAACAGTCAATGACTTTGCATTTTAGTTTGCAACTTTTTTACGGCAAAACATTACCGGCCTAGATGCCGGTCTAGATGGGAAAATCTAGACCGCTTTCAATATCGATTTCAGCCAATCAAATTCGTAAATTCGGTAGTTCCCAGTCCTTGTGAAACAGAGCCATATAATAATCTGAGTTTATTAATCGTTAATAATACATAATAATAATGATAATGATAATGATAATAAGATACACGAGTTCCCCATATCTTAAATATTTTGCAATAATTCAGAGCATTGAACAAAAAAAATACTACGGCCACCATTTGAAATACATGTAAAAAGATGTGCCGATTTAATCGAGCGGGTCAAGCCTGAAAACTGTCGGACTAACCAAATTGTAGTTTTTATCAGATTCATCAGAACTGAGTGAATGCTAATTATGATTGATGAATTCACTCATTACATTACTTGTTTAATTTTATTTTGTTTATGCACACCTAGCAATCACAAAATTGAAGAGGAGCATGTTTTGTTTAATCGAAGTGTATAGGATTACTTTCGGGAACGGTGTGATTGACAATCGCTTGAAGCAACGCGAAATCTAGGCTGGTTCAACATCTGCTGAATCTTCCTTGTCGTTAAATTAAATCAGTTCAACGCACTTTCTCACAGAGGCTATAGCGCCTCTGAGCAAAAGCACCTGAACAAACAAAACAGTGAGACTGAGGCCAAGAAAATAAGCGCGAATTATCAATAATATTAATGTTGAAGCTTGGCTTGTTGAAGCTTGGCGCAGGCACAGGCGTGGCTAGCTGCAGTTCCTTATATATTTATTTAAGACTAAAGTGTATGTGTTTCATTTTTTTTCTTTTTTCTTTCATTAAGAGACCGGGTTATTTGGTGATGCAACCTGTCAGTGTAGATTATTGGGACGATTAACGCAAGGCATTGAGTTAAAAAGTCTTATTCTTGTAATGAACCGAGAGTGGAGTGTTTATTTGCAAACAAGTTCAATCTACGGATCTGTGCCTTTCGAATGCTAAATGTTCAATTTTTCTTTTGGTTAATATAATCATGTCATTTATCATGTTTATGACAAACCTTTGTTGAAGATGAATTTCACATACAGTCGTACCGCATGAGTCACACTTGATGAAGTGGATTTATGAAAATTTTCTTTCCTTGCCAGTTTGTATTATCGCATGCAAGTTGTGTTCAAAGAATGTGGCTGCTTGTAACACCTACTAGCGTTGTTTTCGTTGATGATTCTACACTGTTGAATACATCGAACAATACGAAACGCTCACTGACACAGAACTGGCGATGCTCAGTAACCCCGGGTCATTACACTTCAACGACTAGCTTTACGAATGGCTTGTTCTTACTGTAACGTGAGTCTTCTCCACTGAGTTATGCCGCATTCCATATTAACATGCCCGGTTGTCTT